TCTGATGTATTCAGGTCAGCAAGGCCTGATCAAATTCACTCTTAGGTGCTTAAGGGACTCACTCAAGCAATTTTGGAATCATTAGTGATTATATTTGAGAACTCACGGAGAGGGAATGAAATCCCAGAGGACTAGAGATGGACAAATACAATATGTATCTTTAAAAAGGGGAACAAAGAGGACCTGGGGAATTATCAACCCATCAGCCTTTTGATACCTGCCAAGATATTGGAATAGATTATTAAACAATCAATTTGTATGCACCTAGCAGATGATAGGATAACAGCCAACCTGGATTTGTCAAGAACAAATCGTGCCAAACCAACCTAATTCCTTTCTTTTACAGAGTCATTGGCTTAGTTGATGGGGGGGAAGCTGTAGATGTGATAGATCTTTATTTTAGTAAAGCTTTTCACACAATCCCATCCGACATTCTCATAAGCAAACTAGGGAAAATGGGTCTTGATAGACTTGGGTACAAAGCTACTAGAAAGACCATATTTAAAGAGGTCCCACCAGGATCTTCTCTAGATCTGATACTAGATGTTTTCATTGATGGCTTGAATAATCGATTGGAGAGTATGCTCATAAAATGTGCAAATGATGCTGAGCTGGGTGGAATTGCAAGCACTGGGAGAGGAGGATTATAGTTCAAAACAACAATTTGGAAACTTATCTAAAATAAACAAGGAATCCCATTTCACTGCTGCGTGTAGACGCGGGCAATTACTTCAGGCTAGTCAATTTCTAAAATAGCGACCAGCTAGCAACATGCAAATCAAGCGCGGGATATTTAAATCCCGGGCTTGATTTGCAATTCTGATTCCCTTCATTAGCCTCCCTAGATCAATCTAGGGGGCTAGTGTAGATGTACCCTATAAGAATGGTTAACCTGGAAGAGGCTTCCAGTAAACCTGTGGAATCCCCATCATGGGAGATTGCTAAGTACAGGTTAGACCAACATCTGTCAGGGATGGTCTAGATATAAGCAGTTCTGGCTCAGCAGAGGGTGCTGGAATAGATGACCTCTTGAGATCTCTTCCATCTCTCCAGTTCTATGATTCTGTGATTTAAACCTGTGAAACTGATTTCAGCATGTGGCTCTTTGCCTTCTCTATGTATCTTCTGTGCACCTCATCACATCCATTGCACAGTTAGTGTATTTACAGCAACATTTATTGCCACATGTTTTGATCCTGGAGCTTGTATATAAACAGTACACTCAGATACATCAGAAAGAAATAGGAAAAAATTACTCCATTGAGAGTCGTGCTTTAAACAGCCAATGACAAGCGGAAGTATCTGAACAAACTGTATCAAACGTACAACCATTCTGGCAACGGCCATCTAATGGATAGCATCCAGTGAGCTGCCCGCTCTGCAAAAAAGCCAGTGGCCCATATCCAGACAACTGTACTGAGTTAGCATAAGGAACATCCATGATTCAGGAAATGAAAAAGCCATTTACAATGTAGAATTTTATGCTTAAAGAAACATGACCTCAAATTTTCATCTGTCTGAGGGAATGTCTACACTACAAAGTTATTTCGAACTAACAGACATTAGTTCGAATTAACTTTAATAGGCGCTACACTAGCGCTCCGCTAGTTCGAATTTAAATCGAACTAGTGGAGTGCGTAGTTCAAACTAGGAAAACCTCATTTTACGAGGATTAAGCCTAGTTCGAACTAGCTAATTCGAATTAAGGGGTGTGTAGCCCCCTAATTTGAATTAGTGGGAGGCTAGCCCTCCCCAGGTTTCCCTGGTGGCCACTCTGGGCACCACCAGGGAAACTCGTCTGCCCCCCTCCCAGCCCCGGACCCCTTAAAGGGGCACGGGCTGGCTACGGTGCCCGTGCCAGGTGCAAGCCTGCCAGCACCCAGCCAGCAGACCCTGCACCTGGCACGGATCGAGCCACCCACCCAATGCCC